GTGTGGATGGGTGTCTGCGGGTGCGTGTGGATGGGGGGTGTCTGCGGGTGCGTGTGGATGGGGGTGTCTGCGGGTGCGTGTGGATGGGGGGTGGTCTGCGGGTGCGTGTGGATGAGGGGTGTCTGCGGGTGCCTGTGGATGGGGGTGGTCTGCAGGTGCATGCTGCCGAGGGTGCCCAATTCTGGGAGAGCGGATTTTGTGGGGGGAGGAGCTCTTGTTTCAAGCAGTGTCAGGTTGAAGAGTTGGCAGGAAATTCTGCTAGGAATAAGTAGAAAGTGGAATGAGCAGTAAGTAGGATATTCTAATGCTCACAGAACATCCTGGAAACAGTGAGATATTCTAGAGCTATCCTGGCATGGCTAGGACAGCCAGAACAATGTAGGAAGCGGGTTAAACTTGTTTGTTTGTTTGAATTGAGGTGCCCTGGGCCGGGGAGGCAGCTCCATGGGAAAGTCCTTGCCTAACATGGGAAGCTGGGGTACGATATTCAGCACTAACAAAAAGGAAAAGAGAAAAGCAAAGCGAAAGAGAGGAAAGACAGAGAAAAGGAGGGAAGAGGAAGGGAATGTGAGAGAGAGGGGAGGAGGGAGGGAGGAAAGAAGGAATAAAGGAAGGAAGGAAGGGGGAGAGGAGGAAAGAAGGAAGGAGGCAAAGAGGAAAGGATGGGAGGGAGGGAGGTAAGGCAGTGAAATCAGAAGTACATCTCATTTAAGAAGTCAGGGAGGACGTGTAATTAGCTAATGGATATAGAGAAGCAGCGGTTAGAGAAAAATAACAGGACCAGGCAAAGTAGGTCAAGGAGAGCAGCCGGCAAAGGACGTCAAGGGGGCAAGGGAGCAATTAGCCAATCATGTCAGAAAAGGAAGAAAGGTCAAGAAAAAGGAGAGCCGAAAAAGGTCACTGGTTTTTTATCGACTAAGAGGTTATAATGTCAAGCGTTTGATTTCATTTCAGTAGGTGACGCTTACCGGTGGTCAAGCCGGAGTCCAGAGTGGGTTGCTCTTCCTCTTCCTGGGTGGGCTCTGGTGTAGTGGAATTTTCCATCACGGAGACTAAAGTGAAAGGAAATGAGATATCACGTGCACATGACTCATGGGTCACCTCTGGTCACCCCCAAACTCTGGCTGATAGCAACTTTCCAGGGGATGGTGCTGAGGGGTGGGACCTTTCAGAGGTGCTCAGCACCAGGCACCAGAGGCTCACGCCTGCCCTCCTCGCTACTCAGGAGGCTGAGATCTGAGGATCACAATTTGAAGCCAGCTTGGGCAGGAAAGTCCATAAAACGACTCTCCAATTAACCACCAAAACATCCAGAAGTGGAGCCGTGTCTCAAGTGTAGAAGAAGCTAAGGGACAGTGCCCAGGCCCTGAGTTCAAGCCTCAGTGTCAGCGTGTGTATGCACGCACACAGAACAATAACATTAAAAAAATACTCTTAAACTGTAGTATTAGAGGAGCTGCGCACTGACCGGCAGCCGTGGTGCGCTGGGACGTGTGGGAGGAGAGGGGCTTGCTCTGCAGGGTCTCTGCTGTTGTCCCTTGGTCAGCAACTAGGAAAGGGAAAGACAAAATTCTGCAATGGTGGAGAGCAGTTTTCTCCACATCGGCTCGGTGGTGGGGCATTTGGTGGTTTGTGGAGACTGTGTGTGAATCTCCAGAATGCCGCGTGTGCAGCTCCCAGCCTGGCGTTTGTATTGGCATCCTGCAGACCGCCATCTGCCGCCGGCCAGCGTGACAGGCCTGCAGGCTGGGCCTCTGCGGTCGTGGGCAAAAGCCACTCACCGTTCCTTTCCAGATCCGTCCACCCTGCCCATCTGTCTGTCAGCCAGGCGGCTCTAGAGCCAGCCTTGGGTGATGCTGAGTTCCAGTGACGCTCTTTGCTCGGGCCTGCGCAAGAGGCCTGACTCATCCAACCTCATGCGTTTCCTTGTCTGTGGAATGGAGGCACTGATGGCATTTTCTTCTTTGTGTTTCTTTTGGAGAGCACACGAATGAGTTTATTCAGAGAATGTTTAGCATAGTGCCTGGCTGGTTATTCAGCACAGGGCTGACAAAATGTCATGGCATGGAGACCCGAGCAGCGATCACCGCCTGAGACAAGGCCAGCCGTGGGGAGCGGGGCGGCTGGGCCTGGGAATGTGCCTGGGGCTTTGGGACATGCCAAGATGCCAAGGGCTGCCTGGCACCCCTTTAATGAGAGATTTCTCTTACCTAATTAAGCAAAACCTTTTTTTACTCATTGAACATGAGCAATTTGAAAAGTACAAAGGAATATGCCTGAATTGTGGGTAAAAACGCTGAGGAGAGGAGGAAGGATCACAGGAAGCGTTAGGAGAAGCTCACACGCTCAGGTGCGTTTCGGCCCCAGCAGCCTCACCTCTACAGCTTATTAACTGCTGCGTGCACACAGCTCTGCTTGGTAAAGTTAAATGAATAAATTAGGTGCAGTAAGAGATGAACAAGAAAAAGTGCTGATAAAATCACAACAATATAAAAGTCAAAGTTACCCAGGTGCCGGTGGCTCACGCCTGTCATCCTAGCTACCCAGGAGGCTGAGATCTGAGGATTGTGATCCAAAGCCGGCCAAGGCAGGAAAGTCAGTGACACTCTTATCTCCAATTAGCCACTGAAAAAGCCAGTCATGTGAGCCACTGTGGCTCAAGTGATAGAGTGCTGGACTTGAGCAAAAGGAGTCCAGGAATAGTGCCCTGTGTTCAAGCCCCAGGACTGGTAAAAATAATGAATAATTTTAAAAAGTTGGGGTTGGGAAGGTGGCTCAGTGGTAGAGCGCTTGCCTTGCATGCCTGAGGCCCTGGGTTCGATTCCTCAGTACCACATAAGCAAAAAGAAAAAAGCCGGAAGTGGTGCTGTGGCTCAGGTGGTAGAGCGTTAGCCTTGAGCTGAAGAGCTGAGGGACAGCGCCCAGGCCCAGAGTTCAGGCCCCACAACCAGACCCCCCCAAAAAAAAGAAAAGGAAAAACAAAAAGATTTTGTTTTTTTTGTTTTTTTTTTTTTTGGGTCCGGTTGTAGGGCGTGAACTCTGGGCCTGGGCACTGTCCCTCAGCTCTTCAGCTCAAGGCTAGCGCTCTTCCACTTGAGCCACAGCGCCACTTCCGGCTTTTTTCTTTTTGCTTATGTGGTGCTGGGGAATCGAACCCTGGGCCTCAGGCATGCAAGGCAAGCGCTCTACCACTGAGCCACGTTCCCAGCCCAGATTTTGTTTTTAAAAACACAAAGGCTAGTGACCACAGAGAAAGTTGAAGGAAGAGGAATGGCTAGTGGTAACGGAAAGAGAGAAAACCTCAAAAGTGAATCACATAGAAATAATGAGGTGCAGAATCTGGGGGATATTGAGAGCTCCTGAACGATGAAAGCCTTCCACCATCACGTTCACATGAATTCAGATAATTACTTGTTTAAGTACAAAACCAGTTGTATGCATTTATACTAATTACGTATGGTTAAAACTAGAGTTTGCACATACTTTAATTTATCCTCCCAACCAGCTGCTAAGTAGTCATATTTAGACTGCATACTACTCTGGATGGATGGATGCCGGCCAGTCTGAGATGCATCTCCCTGGTGGTCAGAATGGGATCCATGAATTCACATGGTCCATGTAAACTTAAATAAGTGGTGTGTGTGTGTGTGTGTGTGTGCGTGAGTGTGTGTGTGTGTGTTCACTAAAATCAAAAAGCTTGAGAACTGTTGCTCAACTTTGTGAAACTCCCAGCCACAGGTTAGTAACAGGACATGGCTCTTTCTCATTGAGAGACTAGAGAATGCAATCCATCACCCCAATAACAGCAGACTCCCCTGCTCTTCCTCTCCCTTCCCTGTCCTAGTCTTGGCCCCCCTTTGGGGAGAGTCTTGGGATCCTGCCCCACAGAGTGTACCCACAAAGGGTTAGAGCTCTTACTTGTAAATGTGTGTCACAGCCACCTCAGATAATCAACACTGTAAACCCAGTGGATGAACACAATTTTTGCAATGTGTTACATCAACCTAGCTGCTCAACAGAAAAAAAAAGTTAATAAATGCTAAACAGCCCACAGGTGTTTTAACTTATTTCTATCTGTCTTGTTACTAAACATGAGATGTAGATCTATAGCCACAGAAGCACTGTAAACAACAACAACAAAAACAAAAAATAACCCAACAATAAAAAAAGCAGATTTCCTTTAACATGGTTGGTTTTCTTAGTTAAGGATCTGATTATCAAGCTAGTTGGGTGGTACATGCCAGTAATCCCAGCAGTGAGGCAAGAGGGTTGAGAGTTCAAGGCCAGCCTGGGCTATGAGACTTTGTCTCAAAAGAAAGAAAGAAAGAGAGAAAGAAAGAAAGGAAAAAAGAAAGAAAGGAAGGAAGAAAGGAAGAAAGAAAAAAAGAAAGAGAAGAAAAACAATAAAATGAGACTTCCTACCAACTAGCTAGGTGAGCACAGTGCCCACCCCTCTATGTTTTTTTGTTTTTTGTTGGTCATGGGGCTTGAACTCAGGGCCTGGATGCTGTCCCTGAGCATTTTCGCTAGCACTCTACCATTTTGAACTTCAGCGCCACTTCTGGTTTTCTGGCGGTTCATTGGAGGTGAAGAGTCCCAAGGACTTTCCTGCCTGGGCTGGTTTTGAACCACAATCTTCAGATCTCAGCTGCCTGAGTAGCTAGGATGGTAGGCGTGGGCCTCTGGCTGGTGGCCCTCTGTCTCTAGTAAGCCTCCGTCTCAGGTCTCATCCTCGCCTGCCCTGCGTTCCTGTCTCTCCCGGGCAGGTGGAGGTGTGGTGTGGGATGTGTGCGGGAGACATTACAAGGCACACCACTCTCTGGGACCCCGTGTCTTCTACTGAGGGCAGCGTCTCCATAAACTTCTTTTGGTTGGCTGAGGGAGGGTCCTATGGAAAGCATTTGGCAGTGCCAGGGACCCCGACCGCCACAGCTGCTGCCCTTGTGGCCAGAGTTTCCTGGGCCAGCTCACCCTTTGCAGAAGTCTCTCCTTTGATAAAAGGTTTCCAGTTAATTCTGTCATCCAACCTTTCTGCTGAGGTGATACCCTTGTACTGTTTTACACCCAGACATTCTTTGGAAAACGAGACTCACGGCTCTGCTAATTAGACCCATGGTTCACGCAGCTTCTTAAAGATCCATCTTGACTCGAAGAGTTATTTATAGTTTTTAAATTATAGCTTGGGCTCTGGGGGGGGGGGAATCTTCAAAACAGTCACAACAAAGCAGATCCAAAGAGCAATCACGTCTAATGCAATTGCATGAGTTTTCTTTTTTTTTTTTTAAGGACCTAAAATAATGTCGACACCTTGAAAGGTATTTCAGGTCATGTTGTTTCCTTTGGGGTAGTGTGCTTGATTTGATAGCCTCCCAGGCAGAGCTGTTTGCAGTCAAGTGACGCTGGCAGTCTTCATCCAGAAGAAAGCCCGGCACCAGGCTCTGGCATTCTGCTAGGCCTCACTCCCGACTGGCTGTGGCTGCAGCCCTGCTCTACCACTGCACTGCCACTGGAACGCACTGCAGGGACGTGCTGTTAGGGAAAGCTGGCTTCCCTGTAATCACCCCCTGAAGGACTTTACCCATGTCACTGGATTTCATCTGATAGCGCAGGATTAAGGTCAATTAAAAACAGAGACAATGGCGGGTTCTTACCCCAGTCTTCAAACCGGAAGGGTGTGACCAGCTTTCTCCCCTGCAGCCCTTCATGTTGGACAACGCAGCTCACCTGTGAGCTTTTGTCTGCAGCGTGGATTACCAGTGTGCTGGTGGTGTTACACTTCTTCCTGTCCGGGCCAAATTCATGGTGGGTCCCCCCTAGGGAGCAATACAAGGAGATCAAAAAGGGTTCGGCTCCTTGGTGATATCCTGTGGTCTCGGCTCTTTTAGTCACCCAGGGCTTTGACATCATGGCAAAGAATAGTTTTCTGAGTTTCTCTGACCTCAGCCGGCGGCCTCTCCTATGCAGGATGTGGCCATAAAAGCAAGTGGGTGAAGGAGAGAATGGCTAGGTTTCTTCAAATCCTTTGTTATTGGGACAAAATTCAAAGCTTGTAGCGGGGCCCGCAAGGAGGGCTTGGATTATATCCATATAACTGGAACCAGGAACTTGCCCAGGTTATATGAATTAGATAGGTTAAAGGAATCTTATTTTTATTTTGTTTGTTCACTTTTATTTAGTGCCAGTATTGGGCTTGAACTCAGGGCCTGGGTATTGTGTCTTAGCTTTTTCACTCAAGGCTGGTGCTTTACCACTTGAGCCATAGCTCTAATTCTGGTGTTTTCATGATTAATTGAAGAAAAAAGCCTCAGAGACTTTCCTGCGTTAGCTGGCTTAGAACTGTGATCCTCAGGTCTCAGCCTCCTGAGTAGCTAGACTTACAAGCGTGAGCTACTTGCTCCTGACATAGGAGTCTTGCTCTTCAAGTACAATTGGTGCTGGGCTGGGTTTCAGGCATAGACTTTTCTCTCTACAACTCCATTTGGCCCTCAGTTTTCTCAACTCTATATGGCCTCTTGCAGCTCTCAAAGATGTGTGATTCTACAGATATGGAAGGCATTCCTGGTGAGATGGAAGCAACCGTCATATTTGTTACATTGTTTCAAGCAAAACCTCAAAATGTATCTTTATTCCTACCATGTTTAAAATTTGTCCTCCTGGGGGTGACACAGTCTTACATCATCTAAGGAAGATCTCATCTCTTCCCTTACAGTCTTATGGCTTACAACAATGTGGAAATGTGTTCACATGAGTGTTGTTCACAGACAGTACAAAATCCAATACATTACGCACGCACACACACACATATCATTCTGTTATATGGGTTAGTTTAACTATAGGCTAGTGTAAATCCTTGAAGCGTGTTAAGTGGAGGTGAAGCTGTTTGGATACTTACTATTAGGTATATAGAATGCATAATAGTCGAGATCTCTTCAATTTTTTGGTAAGCTCATTGCAAGGTAACACATGACCAACTACACAGTGTATATTCCTATATAAAATGTATTTTCACTCTTATGCCATGAAAAAGTTTATGTCCAGGTGTAGTAGCTGTGTTTCAACTGTCATTATTTGCGATTATCCTTTCAATATGAGAAATAGTATTGATGGTCTATATGGATAAGTTCTCTGCAGAAGATGTTATTTGGTGGTGTTTTGGGTACTTCCTGTCACCAGAGGGCGCCAGAACACTTAAAAAATCCCTTGAAAATTTAAGACCGAAACAAAGAGCCGTTTTCCTACCATAGATTTCCAGGTGGTTCCCCAGCAGCCAGGTGATCTGCGGAGGGGGCTTGCTGCCCTTGGTGGAGCACCTGAGCACCAGATGGGAGTCTCCATTTGGCCTTCTGATAATGGACGCTTCCAGGGTTGGCTTGAAAGGAGTTGCTAGAAGAAAATGATTATTTTTTTCCTGTGTTGGGCTGCACAGCTCAGCAAAGCTCAGAGCACGTGGGCTCAGTGGCACACACAGCCTAATGAGTGGGTGTCGTTTGTGACCCGACTTTGCCCAGAATCCTGGGTTGTTAATGACTTACATATACTTGCAAAGATACTCCGGCTGAAGTCAGAATGGCCATGACTGCTGTGTGATCAGTCTTTGAAAATGCCTGAGCAGCCAGTCTCCCAGCAGTGGCTTGACTTGGCGTATGGCGATTCTTTGGTAGAGCGCTAGGCCTAGGAGAAACCTGACTTCCCAGTCTCACCGCTGCTGCGGCCTAGCTGGGGGACCTCTGGGGAGCCTTCTGCTTCTTGGGATAGCCAGGGCTTCCTCTTCCATGCTAAGGAGGAGTGGGCAATAAAGTGGCCTTTTTCAGATTCCAGACTTTTAAGTCTGGCTCACCTCAAGTCAGTTACATTTGTCCCTCTCTAATACCAAGAGGGTGTAAATGGCCTGTTGGTCTTCTTTTCCTTTGTAGTTCTGTCTTGGAAATACATCTTTCCCCCCATTCTTCCCTGATACAAGTCCACAACCACACTCTTTAATATCTATTAGCCCAGCTGTGTGCTGCCAAGATATCAGAAACATGTTTACTAGCTTCAAGTATGACTAGATGCATTACTTTGGCAACATAAACATAAAAAAGATTAGGCCCTGCTAGGAGCTAATCAACTGGTGCTATATTTAGTCTCAAACTGTTAAATATCATATTAGGACTGGTGGTGGAGCTTAGTGGTAGAGTCTGCGCTGAGCATGCTTAAGGCCCTGGGTTCAATCGTTAGTACCACACATACACACACACACATACATACACACACACACACAATCCCCCCAAAATCATGTGTTTCCAGGCATTGGCAACACATTGGAAAGCTGAGTCTTGAGGATCACTGTTCAAAGCCAGCCTGGGCAGGGAAGTCTGGGAGACTCTTATCTCCAATTAACCAGCAAAAAGCTGGAAGTCAAGCTGTGGCTCGCATGGTAGAGCACTAGTCTCGAATAGAAAAAGCTAAAGGACAGTGCCCAGGCCCTGAGTTGAAGTCTCAATACTGGCATAAACAAACAAAGAAAAGATCATGTGTTGAGTGGTGTGGTAGAGATAGACAATGGGAGAGGACCAAGCAGACAGAGCAGACAGGCCCGGGTGAAGCCATGTAGGTCCTCAGAGGACCAGGCAGACAGAGCAGACAGGCCCGGGTGAGTCATGTTGGTCCTCAGAGCCCCTCCCTCTCAGCCACTTTCCCATCATGCCTTCAGTGCTGACTTCAGTGCAGCAACCAGGAGAAACATTCATGCAATTATGTCATTTAACGATCAATAAAAAGCATTTTTTAAATCAATCTATTCTGCCATAAAAAGCAAAACAAGACATTAAGACGGAGGCTGGACATCACTGCCCAGCTATGGAGCGGAGCGGGTCCCTGATGATCAGAGGCTGTGTATCAGAGGCTGTCAGTCAGAGCACACTGGAGCAGAGCGGGTCCCTGATGATCAGAGGCTGTCAGTCAGAGCACTCGCTGCCTGATTCCACCTCCCACAGGAGGCGGGGCGCGCAGGGGCCAAGCGTGCCACAGGGTGTGGGAAGGGAGCTGTTGCTGGATGCGGGAAGGGAGCTGATCCGTGGTGCCCTGCCCTGGGCATGCTGTCACAGGGGCTATTTTATTCTTACCCGTGCTTTGCCTCCCTCAGCAATGTGCACCCTGCGATGGATAATGCCTGCTTCTGCTCTGAACTCTTAGTTCTAGGTGTATACTATTTGCTTATCACATACTGATTCTCTTTCCTTGAGCCAGGCACCAGTGTCTTACATCCCTAATCCTAGCTACTGAGGAGGCTGAGATCTGAGGATAGAAGCTCAAAGCCACATGGGCGAGAAAGTCCGTGAGACTTTCATCTCCAATTAAACGCCAAAAAGTCAGAAGTGGAGCTGTGGCTCAAGTGCTAGAATGTCAGCCTCAAGTTGAAAAAGCTAAGGGATAGAGCCTAGGCCCTGGATTCAAGTCCTAGTGTGCACGCATGCACACGTGCGCGCGCGCACACACACACACACACACCTGCACCCCTCTTTCCTCTTAGTTTCTTGGAAAGAAATTTAACTGATGCCAAAGGCACATTCACAAGTTTACATTTGAATCTAGAGCTCACCACATAGAATGCTGTGTTCTGTTTTCTTTGAATAAAAGCGAGTAGAGATAACCTGAAGAAATGGCCTCGTGATAGGTAACATTTGAAAACCAAATGTCAGGTTTCAAAACTGGCGCCGCGTGCACCGAACCATACGGCCCTCGCCAGAGGCGATGTTGCTGGATACCTACCACGCACCACCACCTGCACGTGCCGAGTGCTCACGGTGTGGCTGTAGCACAGACAGGTGTACACGCCCTCATCCTGCAGGCTGGCGCGGGGCACCCGGATGTACAGCTGCGTGGCCGAGTGGTGAAGAAGTTGGTATCTGGAATCTTTCAAAGCTGCCAAGGGGGAAATCAAAGGGTGAGGAGGAGAGCGACCCCGCAAGTGCGGGCTGCTCACCCACAAGCCTCGCTTTCACTCTCCACGCTTGGAAGAAATGCTTGCCACGTCCTCAGCGGCACTGCCTTCCAAAAGCAGGTGCCGGCAGGGGGCAGCGCCTGCAGGCGGCTTAAGGAAGGGACTATTTGCATCCTGGCATCTGTGAAATGAGCACCTGGCCTTTGCTTGTCCTTGTAGGAAACAGAGATGGCGCCACTGGAGACACAGTCAAGCCACAGAGGATTTAAAATTGTATTTTCTCTAGGTAAGTCCCCCTGTGAGTTACCTCTTTGAAATTGGATTTCTCTGAGGTCATCTTGTTACCATAAATGTCAAGAATGCGTTGATGAATGCATCTATTAGATGGTTTTGATTTTTAATTTTTTATGATTAGTTGAAGATAGAGTATGACGGAGTCTTTCCAGATTTTTAGTGATGAGCAAACATAAAAGCAAGCTCCAAAGAGTATCAGCCAATAGCCTTTCTCCCCAACACCCTTTGACATAGTTTGAAATAATGCATTGCATTATCTCATATGTAACCTATCAATATTTAATAATGTTTGCAAAGCTTATCAATGGTTTAGGGGCTCTGCTTTGTAAACCGGAATAGAAAATGCTGACTTGGACTTTTTTAAGCATTTAGCAATTAGGAATTTTTTAACTAGAGATGTAAAATGGTTTCATCATGAAGGAGATGCTTAGTAAAAATCTTGTCCAGTGTCCAACATGAATGAAATAGACGTTTGAGAGTTTCTTTCCATCTCAGACATCAGACAATTCCTTCCTGTGCAATCATGAGGCGAGGAAGGATTGTCTTCTTTCTTTAAGGAATAAATACATCCTGTCAATTTCTGTCATTTAGAAATTCTGACTTGATATGAAGAGCAGTGGAGAAAGATTCAATATCCAGGAAGGAGCTCTGTCATGTGACTTGGGATGGCTCAGGTGGCCAGCTCAGCAGCTGGCTGTGGCTGTGGGGTGTCACTGGCTGCACAAGGACAAAGCCCCCCCAGGTCAGCCTGCTACCTACTCCCCCTTTTGCTCTAGGCTGTTTCTTGGCCACAGAGCGTCAAAAGGCGATGTGGGGGTGGGGTGGGGCCATGGAAAGTGTATTTTGAGTCCCCTTTAATACTCCTGTTGGGGTTTCCATTCCAGACTGTTTGCCCCCCGAGAACAACCAGGCTTCACCAGGCTGACTCATGTGTGGTGGTAGGTGGCTGAGCCCACCTTTGTGTGACTCACACGGACTCTCCGTCCACTACCTGCCTGGCTGGAAGTCCCCAGCGCTCGCCCGCTCTCTCTGTCTCTGTCTGTCTCTCTGTCTCTGTCTCTGTCTCTCTCCCTTTCTTTTCTTTTCTTTTTTCTTTTGTCAGTTGTGGGGCTTGAATTGTGGGCCTGGACACTGTTCCTCAGCTCTTCAACTCAAGGCTAGCACTCTACCACTTGAGCCACAGAGCCTCTTCTGGCTTTCTCTGTTTCTGTGGTGCTGAGGAATCGAACCCTGGGCCTCATGCATGCGAGGCAAGCACTCTACCACTGAGCCACCTGCCCAGCCCTCTCAATCCAGATCTTTGATAATTGTACAAAAAAGAACAAAGTGAAGTTTGAAGTTTTAGTTTTCAAAAACTATGTATCAAACTAAATGAAAATCCTTTTAAGAGCAAGCATATTTGATTTCTGCTGTTTTACATAGCTCCCACTGAGCCACCCTCCCAGCCCCTTTCTCTTCTTTCTTTCTCTCCCGTTCTTTCTCTCTTTCTTTATTTCTTTCCCTCCCTCCCTCCCTCCCTCCCTCCCT